TTGAACTCTATTCCCCCCAAAGTCGGCCTCCAACTAACTTCTTCTTTATATAAGTTCTCATAATACCCCGCTATCGCCCCTTTTACCTCCTCATCTCCCTCAATCCTCACTCCATCCACAACTAAGGACTCTATGATGTTTCTCTTTCAATTTGCGACCGCCACCCTATGGAAAAACTTGGTATTCAAATCCCCCTCCTTTAACCAGAGTGCCCTCGATTTTTGCCGCCAACTAGTCTCCTGAGCTATTGCTAACTCGACTATTTTCCTCTTAACCTCCCCCAATCTCTCTTTCTCAGATTCATCTAACTCCCCCGCCCCTTCCCCTCTTTCTAAATCCCCCAATTCATACATAAGCTCCCTCATTTTAACCTCTCCCCTCCCAAAAACCTCCTTATTCTGCCTAATAATATCTCCCTTGAGCAATTTGAGTTTCTTCGAAAGACAACATGAAGGTGTCCCCGATACCCCATAGCTTGTCCACCATTCTTTCACCTTGTCACCGAATCCTGGCACTTTCAACCACATGTTTTCGAATCGGAAGGGAGCACGCACCCCCCTCCCTCTGCATCCATCTAGCAAAATAGGCAAATCATCTGAAGTCAACCTAGGTAAAGGAATCTGCAGCACATTCGGCACCAGCTCATCCCATGAGGGAGATGTCAGGAATCCATCAAGTCTAGACCTTGAGTTGGAATCCTCCGCCCTGACCCAAGTAAACCTTTTCCCTGACAGAGGAAGGTTAATGAGAAAGTGATCATTGATGAAGTCAGAAAACTACTCCATGGCCCTCGAAATCACACTACACCCTAATCTCTCCTCCGGGAATCTAATAGTGTTAAAGTCTCCCCCTATAACCCATGGAATGTCCCATTTCCCCATAATATTGGCCAGTTCCTCCCAGAAAGACACCTTGGACCCTTCCCCTACCAGCCCGTACACTCCCCCAAATCCCCACTCCACCCCACTCACTCTATCTTTGACGAGAGCTGCCAAAGAGAAAACTCCCGTCCTAATCTCCTTTACCTCCAAGCTTTTATCATCCCACATAAGTAGAATGCCTCCGGTACCTCCCGCTGCTGGGACCCAGTCATATTTCACCCAACTACTTCCCCAGACACTTCTCACGATCGCATCCGATAAAACTTCCATTTTGGTCTCCTGAAAACAAACTAGGTTGGCACCCCACTCCCTAACTCCCACTTTGATGATGGCCCTTTTGTTTGGGTCATTCATCCCCCTCACATTCCATGAAAGGATCTTAACTTCCATAAGCGACAATAGCCCCCATTTCCCCACCCCCCCTAGCCGAGGTCCCTTTCTCTCTGATACACCACTACATCCCCTAAGTTATTTTGCCTAACACATTTACCCAACTCCCTCCCTGCACCATCGTAAAGAGATTGTTGCTCAATCTCCCTCAACAGTTCTAACACCCTATCTTCCTTCCCTTCAACAGAAACACCTAGAAACTTCCCAAAGTTTAATAGTTTATCCTCCATCCAGAAAGACATATCCCCTCCTCCGATCCTTGACGAAATTGGGCAGGCTTCTTCTATATGTACCCTTTCCTTGCTACTACCAGAGGAATACAAGACCATAGCATTGCTAGCACTAGGAGTTTTAACCTCCGAAAGGGTCTCACCATTTCCTTGAGGGGCATGGCTGCTATAGGAATGTCCAGAACCATCAGTAGGGTAGCATGGCTGAAGAGAGCATGGAACCCTTGGCGGCATATTAACTGAAAGTACTGGTCCGACACTAACATCAATTGGGGCATGCCCAACAATCTCCCCAGAAGAAGAAGAAACTTTAAGTGTGACCTCAGCACAACTAAGCCCAGGAGCAGGCGAGGGGTTGATGGAACTGGGTCCATCAGAGGCGGGGGGCCGTGGATTAACAGCACCATCCTTAGCCGGTTCTGCCCCTGCAGCAGCGGCCATCGTAGAGGGGCACAGGTCACTAGAGCTCGGTGAAGGAGTGCCACTGTGTGAAGCACCATGGCCAGAGGAAGGAGGAACGACTGTTCTCATATGCTTAGGAGCCTTATCATATGCAGCTTGAAATAAACCGGGCCCCTTAGGATCAATTCTAATGGAATTGGGGAAAGTTGTTGAACCCATGTGAGGAGGCCCAGGCCTATACTTGCTGAAAACTTGCCCGGCCCTATGATAAGTAGAAGAGGATCAGGATCGTCCCATTCTGCCTTTCCAGCCCGCATCACTGACCAATTCACGTCTTCTCCTCCTGTTAAAATTTTGTCTTCCTCCCCCAATTTCAAACCTCCCGTCTCTTCTCGATCAAACGTCTGATTCTGGCTTAATCCAGTGATCCGGTGAGCCCTCCCCTCCCCTCCCTTCCCTTCTATTTGACCTTCCCTTTTCTTCCGTCGCTATCACAGGCATAAAGATAAGGCGAAATTCAGGGCTCAACTAAACCCTATAACTCAAGTAGCCATCTTCCACCACAGTGGCAGGGATTCTGCCCCCTTTTCTCACCACAATCCTCACTCGCGAGAGATCGTGTAAACTGCAAGTGACATCAATAAAACCCCCACAGATTTCCCCTATCTTCTTGAATAGGTCAAGACACCAAAGATGCACCGGGAGACCCACCATGTTGACCACCAATGTTTCGCCAGTGAAGCGAGGGTCAAGACACCCATCATGCTCCACCCATCTGTCTAGATTTAAAAAGTTCCCATCGAACCACATATTTCCTCTGACAAGAATTTCTGAAGCTTGAAACTTGTCAACAAAACGAAAGAGATATTGAGTGTCCCCCAATTGCGATATTTTCAGCCGTCCTTGACGTTCCATGCCTCTGCTGCCCAATTCCTAACAGCCTCCGGAGAACCAACCCATTTGGAGAAAGACCTAATGAGACTAGATTCCAAGAAACCCTTGCACCTGAGAGAGTGCTCCTCGGACAGCGAGAAGTGCGGCTCATGTCCTACGTCGAGCTTTCGATGGCATCTTCCCCCAAGTTCTAGGGCTGGCCAAGAGACAGCTTTGATAAAAGACATGTTTTCCAATTTTCTAGATTCTAGAGAGAAAAAAGAGCTTCTCTCTGTACAATCCATTATATTCTAAATGTGGCTGTCCCGGAAAAACTGGCCGGAAAAAGCCTCAATAGTTGGAATAACAGTATTCACAGTGGGTGAAAACAGTATATAGGAAGGAAGGTTTTCTCGTACTGAACAAAGGAAACAATCGTCAGAATCTGGGGTTTAAAGGCCGGAAAAAGAAAAAGTCGTCGGAATTTGGTGAAGCTGGCACGGGATGGCTCGGAAATGCCTCGAGAAGAGGTTGTCCGAAGAAAAAAATTTGAAAGGTCGTCGGAAAAAGCCACACGCGCTGGCGCGTGGCTGAGATCTCGCCGGAAAAATAGGCAAGTTGGCGGCGCGTGAGGGCTCGGTTGCCGAAGAAATTTACTGGGTTTGGACGCGGGGAGCTTGGCTCTTGATGGGTGTGGTGGAATTTTAGGAAGAAGAAGACTTAGTACTCATTTCAGAAGCTTAAAAGAAACAGGTTTCCTATTTAGTTAGGAAACCTTATGGCCTGGGTAGGTCCCTTGACTGTACGATTTGATAAATAAGCTTACAAACCGGGAGGCTTCTCTTTTTCTTTGGTTCTCTTTTTCTTTGGTTTTACCTTTTGACTCCAGATTCCAATAAATCCCATAAATATCAGCAGCCGGTCGCTCTTGACTCGTCAACAACCCAGAAGCAATAAGATGTTCACTGCTAGAGTTCTTTCAAATATAAGAATGTTTTGGTAGAAAACAATGACTGGGGTTAATGAATAAAATGGACAAATTAGTGGCACCAAGACAAGCTAATCTGGAACTTTTTGCCCCATCTACACTCGAAAAAAATTATCTATATGGTTACTTGACAGAAAATAAGCTAGAGAATAGCTAGATGAAAAATTGCATTCAAGTGATATATCTCTACAGTGTTACAATCAAGCAGTTTATTGTCTGTTCCATGCATGAATTGATGATATTTGACGAAGCACCATATGTGCCAGCTACATTTTTAGTTTTGAAATGTGGCTTTCATAAAAGGAGAAGGATAGAGTGAGTATCTGGCTTATGTGTAGCATAAGCCCAGTTAAGCATGCACCAGCAGAAATTCAGGAAGAGACTATAAAGCAAAAACTCAGTTGACATTTTAACCATTCAAAGTCACTATTAAGGATATGTTACAGTGAAAAAATGGGAAAAAATGGGAGCCTACTAAATACATTTGTGTTTANAACAGTGAAATATGGGAGCCTACTAAATACATTTGTGTTTTAACATGAAAATGGTTACCCAGCAGAGAAAATGAAAGGCAACAAAACATTTGTGTTATAACATGGAAAAACTTACCACCCGGAGTATCCGATTTTGAGCACGTGATTTCTTTGCTTCATGGGCAGCGAGCCGAAATAGTTGAGTAAGATCAGCGTGGCCACAAGATGAATTTACTGTGAGACCCCGAAGAGCAGAATTGGCCATCTCAATGTCACTGCTGAACTCTTTCTGGAGCTTCACAAATAGAAAATTTTGGAGATCGTTTAGTTCCAATGAAGTTGTGATCATATATAGCAACTGCTAGATAGAAGGATCATGAAGGAGATATGGTGATGAAAGAACAACTAAGCGAAGCGGAAAAAAAATTGACTTGAATTTGCACTATGTAAAAAAACCAAGTACACTCTTGGCCCTACCAATTCGCCAAATTCCCAATGCTTTTTAAAAAACTATGCCGAAATAGAAGACAAGACATTTTTGAATGAAATGCACAAACACAAAATTCTAGAATTCAGCACATTCTTGGACAGTTCTCATAGTAGAATCAAACAAGTATACCTGCCACTTAACTGGTAAGTATTCCCAACAAACAAATATTTCTAAGGTCAATTTAGAATCAAAAACATACACAGCAGCAAACAATCAACCACTACTTCAGTTTCATCTTGCTATTATAAGGCACGCACAGTTGACTGCTAAAGGAACACTTGACATGCAGGATAAGATTATAAAGAGAGATTCTTTTTTGAAGTATCAAAAGCAGAGGGTGGATGTACAACTAAAGCTATGGGTTCGGCTGAACCCAATAACTCCTATATATGTGTCACGAAATCTACTAAATATGTATAAATATTATATTTCGAACCCAATAACTCAAATGGTCAGTGTCATCCCGAACCCATAAAGTTCACATCTCGGATCTGCCTCTGAACATAAAGTATTAACTCACTAAGTGCAAAGCATGGCCAACGCCAAACCCGAATAAATGGGGTGGGATGCAGTAGGTTACGGTCAGCATAAAATTAATCTAACTTTGATGGATCCAATACTGAATGAGTAGAGTGGAATAGATACAAAGGATACAAATAGCCGACGCCAGCTGGATTTGGATTGTGCATAGTTAATTGACTGATTGACATAGTATCAAATAGTATTGAAGAAAAAAACTATATAAATTAAAATATTGAAGTAGATCCATCGAGTCCTTTATGTGACACAATATGTTTTTTGAGAGTCTCAATGGCTGTTTTGACACATTTTGAAGTGCACATCATCATTATCTATGAAAATGAGCTAAAATGTCCAGTTTCAATCCAGAATTGGTTAATTTGACTCTCGAAAAATCTCAGACATAAAAGGAATAGGCAAAACTGAGTGATCTATCAACATCAAATTACTCGTAAAAGAAAAGCAAAGGAAAATCAGTGGGGCCACATAAGCAAACTGGAAACAAACAATAAGCATTTCAATGAGGTCTTGCTTCTATTATCTCTATTCCTACTCGTGTCTTACTTACAGTCTATTTCCTTGTAAAATTTTCCCTGAAATTATACGAGTGATCGGTTTCGATAAGGAGCCACATACTACAAAGATATACATACTGTTAATAAGGATGTCTGAGGACATAGTGTCCCCAATGATACTTTCCTTTCACAAGGATTTAAGCAAAAGTTACACTTATAAGGATTTATACTTACCCACGTGTGACCTAGGAGTCAATGAAATGGGTGAAAACCATGCAAGACTATAGTTCCCAGAAGATTATATGCTAGGCGATGCTCCTTGGGTGGAAGAGTTATCCGTTACAGTATTGGTGGAAGGTAGCAGGTACCAAGTGAAATAGTTGAGGTGAGTGCAAGCTCACCCGAACACCATCATTACCAAAAACAAAAGAAAAAGATATGTTCGTATATATTTATAATTGCTATTGTGGAAAACTTGGTCACATCTTATATCAAATCTTCCAACTTTTCAACCACTTATCAATGAACATTCCCAATATTTGGAACTTGTGTATATGAGGCTTGCACCTCAACAAAACTATAAAATAAACCAATAATTGCATAGCGAGTTCCTGAGAAAATTTGTCAGCATTCCTATTCTGATCTATCAAACTTAAAGCTTTGGGAAGATTTCTATAATCTCAATTAATAACCAGAAAATTACAAATGTTGTGAGAGAGCATTAGGATCAATTACTAGCATTTACTGAACACGTTAACAGAACTCTTTACTTTAGTTTGAGGTTTAGATGAATTACAGTCAAATAGTCTAGGGATAAATAAACATTATGCCCTGCTTAGGGCAGTGTTTAAAAAAGCGCACGCTTCCTCGCTTTAAGCGAGAAGCGAAGCGAGAAGGGGCACGCTTCAGCAGGGTGAAGCGACTCAGGTGTAGAAAAGCGACCGCTTCCCACTAAAAAGTGAGAAGCGGGAAAGCGAAGCGAAGCGAGAGAAGCGCCCGCTTCTGTGTTTTAAAACAGACCCAGCCCTATTTTATTAAAAACGAGATTTTGTGATTAAACACTAGTCTTTCATTAATTGAACAGCAGCGACTAGGGTTTTAAAGCAGAGACACTGGTCGACTTCTTCTTCTTCATCGACTTCTGATTTCTGAAAGCATCAACTAGGGTTCTTCTTCTTCTTCTTTAACTTCAAGTTCAAGTCTTCAACAGCAACAGGTATGTTCTGATTTTTTTCCTCTTCCTCCTCCTCCTCCTCCTCCTCCTCTTCTTCTTCTTCTTCTTTCACTGTTTAAACGTCCAAAAAGCAGCGAAATGCTGGCGAATTTTTTTTTTTTTACCTTCTGTTCTTTCTCAGAAAATTACTGCCCAAGAATAGAATGCTCATTTTATGCTTTAATTGATGCTACTCTTTAGTTTTTAAATTGAAGTACATTTGCTTACAATTATATGTGTTGTCTATGCAGTATTTATTTTAAATTTTTTTTTTTAAATTCCGCTTCACTTCAAAAAAGCGAGCGCTTCGCTTCTCGCTTTAAGCGAAATGGGGGCTGTCGCTTTTCCTCGTTTCACGCTCTTCACAACACTGGCTTAGGGAAATAGAGCAACTAGAAGGCCAAGGTAGTGAGTGATGATGCCCCAAGAGCTCACCATCACGTCGCATAGCTGCTAAGAAGTCACCCCGGCATCCTATGACAAGGTCACGTGCTAAGGAACTTTAAGAGAAGCTAGTTGGTCTACAAATTACAATTAAGTGCTTTGTACTGAAGGTGAGCTAAAAGACATGAAAATATCTCATAGGTACTTCAATGTGCTTGTGACATCATTGAAAGAGCATACGGAGGCAACTTGGACTCAAGGAGTTGCTAGAAACGGAGTTCAGGCTCAAGAGTCAAGCCTAGCGCCCTGCAATGAAATCTAAAGTCAGAACAAGTGGCCCATTAACTCAAAGCCACGCAATGCACTGGACTATGTCCCAGCAGGTGGTTTTGTTTGGTTTTTTGTCAATTGCCTAATTTGGAACCCAGTACAAATAGACCCTTAGACTCATTTTTTCATTAAATTGGTTGACACTTAGATGGTAACCGAGAGAGGAAAAAACCCTCTCTTTTGTTCTTTTTTGAACTCTTGATCTTCACAAGATCTTTTTTTAATTTTATGAAGTAGTGATCTAAACAAGGTAATTTGATTCCTTGTTAAGATTTCTTGACTCTTTGACAAACTTGATTGACTTTTTATTCTAATTCCAACGTTCTTCGTTTTGATAAATGCATTGTACGATTGAACGGGAATTCAGGGTTAGTTTCCCTTTTTATTAGTTGTTTGAATATTGTTAATGTATTCAGTTCCATATACCGTTTATTATGTTAATTTCACCCAACACATATCTTTATTTTGACTATGCGTATTGTTCTTTAGATAATTGAATAGAGTTAATTGCAAAACTCTAGAATTAGCTAATTCAATATTCTTCCACCATCGAGAATGCTCTCAGGGAGTCATTGATTTACTTCACGTGGTGACAGTACATAACCTTCTCTTATATTTTGTTGAATGGGAGGGAAGTAAATAAAGCTGACTCCTCATTTTCATACAAATCTGGAGGGGATAAAACATTAAACACGAATGAATTGCCCATCCTCCACCTCTAATTCCTTTGTTAATTTATTTCCCGAGCAAACAAAGTGAGTCGAGTAGCTAATTCACAGTTATTTTACTTCCCCACCCACTGCTACACCTCACTTGGTGTAAACTGGAGTGCAGCCATCTTATCCACTAAACTCTCTAGAAGTTATTTCTTTGAGTCAGAGCTAAAACTTAAAACATAAAACAGAAGGACTGGGAAACAACGGCATGGGAACCATGGGACCCCTTAGTAGTAAAGGGCAGACAAAAGTGCATACCTGCACACCAACTGAGGCCTTTTTCTTTTTGGAGTTTTCCAATTACTTTACTAATAGAAAGGCTTCCCTTATTCAGTTGAACTAAGCTACCGCATGAACAATGGATCCGCTGAGCTAGGTAAGCATCCAGATCTTGATCCAGAGATATTGCTTCAGAAATCAACTGAGCTCAGGAAATCACGTTAAGACGTCGATCTCCCCAACAATCACAACGTTGAATTGATTTCTCTCTCTTTCTATTCCTTGCAAATGGAGATAAAAACTGCGCACCATCTGCCCTAAAGTTATTCAAATTCCACCTCAGAGGAAACAAGAGGCCTCCTTTTTTCAAGTTTCTGATTTCATGCTATCACCATATCTAAGGAAAGCAAATTCAATTTCAAGCTCAAATAAATGGTTTCTGCGGCATGTATGTCTCCTATTTTTCCACCACTAAATATAGAGTTGGGGAAATTCTTCTTTCCTTCTAGTCCTCTGAAATGCACACAAATAGTTTCTATTTTTCATGAAAAAATGCCTATTATTCCGTTTCAGGAACATCGTATCTATTCACAAGCTCAAGAACCATACACACACATCCGCAGTTAACATGGTATAAATGTTTAATGCCCTCTTCCCCCAAATAAAAAGGAAAAATGTTACCCAAAGTTCCAGTAACTAATAAAAGTCTCCTCTCCAAGTATTCGAACCAAATTTTCTTTAGTACCCAAATACTTAAACACCAAACAACAACAACAACAAAAAACTAACCTCAATCCTGAACTAGTTTGGACCCGTTTCATTCCAATTATCAAGCAGGAATAATAAAGAGGGAAATAGTGAATTTGGAAAGGAAATTAGGGAAGTACCAGGAAAGCGGATTTGGCAAGACCAGCAAAAGCAAAGCGATGATCAGGGCTGATAGTGAGTTTGGCATTGATGAAGAGAATGATGGCTTGCTTCATAGCGTCCAACCTCGTATAGGGTCGCCCACCAGCTGTAGTTGAAACTTTCATTTCCACGAGTGATTCACTGTCCACATCTATGCAGAACAGTATGTCTTCGCTCGCTAAACGATTTGGTTTTAGACTGTACCCACCACTGTCTTCTACCTCTATTACCTCCATTTTCTCCGGCACACAAATTGATCACCCTCCCCTCTCTCTCAAATTCGAACAGTCTCTCTTTTCCCAATAAATTTTTGCTGCTTCTTCTCTCTCTCTCTCTCTCTCCTGCCTGATTTTTCCTTCTACTTTTTTTCTGGCCTGATTTTTTTTCCTTCTTTACGCTCTTCTTTTATTTTCATTTTCTTAATTTTTCCTACATTAAATGGTCGTATCTGCCCTTAAACTTTAGGAAATTGTCTAAATTTGCCCTTCATTATTATTTGTGGTCATATCACCTTTCTTGTTATCGAAAAGGCTAGATTTACCCTTAATTATATCGGTTCTAATGTTTTCTTTTGATTCTAATTTTAAATGATTTTTTCTTACTACGAGGAGTATCCGATTTAACCAGAATCTAGTTTTTTGATTCATTTCCGGATCAGGATCTTTGGCTTATGACACATGATCACGCCCAATTCTAGTCATAAAAAGGATAAACGATCGCTGCAAATATAATATACGGTTTAAAAGTCCGGAATCGAATCCCACAAAGAACTAAGGTTTAGCTACAATTGTTTACTATCACTAAAAAGACAAGCTCGAATAATTCCTAAGTAATAAGATTCTGTTTTCTAACTAATTAATTAACAAATTAAAATAGTAAATTAACAACTAAAGATACTAAGGATTGGATATAATATTAAGGAGGTCTAGAGTTATGATTTTCCCAATTGTCGAAACCCTTCTCGCTATGTCTTCTATAATTTTGCCTAAGTTTTTTCTACCGATCGTGAGTACTTTGGGAGTCATAGTTCTCTCTCGAGCAACTGCCATAATTTACTAGACATATTTTCTCGAACTACGCTAGTTGTTACTAATTTACCGCTCACTACGATCGCATCAAGGTTTCGTTATCTCTAATACCGTCATTAAACCCTATGTATTGATCTCTCACATACGTTAGGAGTGATGTTGGTCAACAACTACCTAAATATGTACCCTCTCTCAAGCAATACACACTAAATAGACACAGTCAATTGATGGTCATTCAATCAACAACAATAAACACGTAGTTGAACAAGTAGAGATACTCAAATTCAAAATTATATTAAAACTTAACAAGATTTCATCCTCCAAAAGGTTTCATCAAACCCTAGATGAGAAAGTTTAGCTACTAATAACCATACTAACAATCATGATAATAATTGAGAGCATTAAAATAGAGATTAAGGAAGAACGGAAGAGAAAACTCTTATGATCCGTTGCTTCCAAGTGTTTCCGCATCCTTTTGCTTCTCCAATAATGTCTCCCCTATCAGAAATAGGTTTAGAACCCCTTTTATACATGTTGGGAGCGTGTAGGGTCGAAACTACCAAGTCCTAGCCGAATTAGGACGAAATTCGCCCTTGGCCGTCTCGCTTGGCGCCTGGCGCCAACCAGGACACCGAATTTTTTTCACTTTTGTGCTATTCTGCCTTTGGCGTTTTGGTTGGTGCCTCGCACCAACCTGGGCACCAAAATCATACTCCCTCCAAATTTTTCTATTTTTACTTCACTTTGCATGCAAGCTTGCCAAATCACTTCAAATTGACTCCTACACATATAAATATTATTATTAAGCTCGAGTCACAAATATTTACACCAAAGTTAACAAGATTGAGGTATAATGCAAGGCAAATTACATGCGAAAATATGAATTTTTAGCCTAACATCGTTACCCCACACTTAAGCTCTTGCTCGTCCTCGAGCAACCTAAAACCTTGCTAACCAAACAATGCATGCAAGACATCATACAATTGAGGAGCATTTGGCAATTCAACATACTACACCTATGACCATAGTTGATACCAACAATTAAGCTCTTGCATACGCATTCATGCCTTTCCCAACTTTCACATGTCGGAGTATTAGTGACCAATTAAAAATACTCAAATAACCTGCCCATAACCACCCAACCTCAAAGACCGACTTGTCGCCAATAAGCACTCTCAACTCGTGCACTCACCCAACAAGAGATGTTTAATAACATCACTTATCCGTCATGGAATCATGTTCCTCACCAAAGAATAAGAGGGTATTTCGTCCACACATTCAAATATGCACTCGAATATAATTTAAGGACATCACATATATGAACAAAGAACCACTCACTCTCACAAAGAAATTCATGTGCACTCCATGGTTGTACTATAGGCTTGCCCGTAGTATATATTAATTAGGTCTTTACTGGTTGTAATGTAGGCTAAGGGACGTGTAGGATATATTTTGGGTATAGTGAATAATCCTGCTAAGCACTTTAATACACCAAACTTAACTTTCCAATACATATTTTTCATGACCAATTTNGCTAATGATCTTCCAAAACATACATGCACCTTTGGCCTTTCTATGGTTCCACTCAAAAGCTACCTCAACTCTCACCTTACTCTTCTAACGACTTAAGTGCTTTCGGAGGTAAAGGTTCGAAAAGAGTTAATTAAGAACAAAATGGGAATCGGCTAACGTGGGTGCCAAAGAAAAGGTTTATAGGCTCAAATGGGCTATCTACGGATAATTTTATATATAGTGTCATAATAGCTCAATGTACAATCAAAGAAACGCCTACATCATCTCTTAGACTCACAAAGGTTACTTATTTCGCTTCGACTAACACACATGGCAAGTTCTAGACAAACACATAATAGCACAGAATGTAATCACCATCTCACATCACACAATGCACATAACCCCAATCAATACAGTTCCACTCCAACTCTCAAGTTTAGGAAAGTAATCACAAAATCAAGAAGTATTAAGCAATAAAGCACTACATGAACAATGAGTCAAGTAACTGAGAGAAAGTGTCACAGACAGGCTATTCAATCTTTCACGGTATCAATTTTTATCAAAACATGTTAGGAAGGTAATTTGTATGCTAAGGCCTAACTATGTTAGCATCAAACAGGTCAAAAGGCACATGAGAGCACTCAAGTTTTCTTCCCTCAATTTCCTAAATATAAAAATTACTCGGTTCAAGTTACATCCCCTAACAAAGAACCTGATGCCAAAAGAAAAAACAAGGGGGATTATTATCTACTTACGACTAAATAAGAAAATATTTTTTATTTTTTTTCATTGGACCTTAATCCCTCAAAAAAGTTGTCCAAGAGATCCATCATCAGGAAAGGTCCCCATTTATTTTTTAAAGTTAAAATAACACAACTAAAATATCATAGAAAATCACCCCAACAATCTCTCCACCCCACACTTAAAATTGTGCATTGTCCCCAATATACACCATAAATAACAAGAGGGTGAAAGAAACTCCCCGGTAGGCTAAAGGCCAAAACATTAGCGGCTCATGGGATACTCAGACTTCTCCTTGGCCCGGTCCTTCGTGCGGGTACCTCACACCTAGTTCCAACCATCTGGTTTGCTTTTTCTTCCTTCCAATGGCTTTCCTTTCCATGCTCCTACAAAATAAAATAAAAAATACACTGCAAAAATAACACAATTAAAAAAAGAAAAAAATAAAAAATAAAAAAGCAGTAAAGCTGGGTTGCCTCCCAACAAGCGCCTAATTTAACGTCACGGCACGACATGATTCACTTTCTGCCTCCACTTCAAACTTATGAATTGGACCCCAAGTTTTGATTCTGCTCTATGATTATTCTCTTGGGGTGGTGTAAAGCCTTGAAAGCCAAAAGTTAAATAATTCCTTATGCACTTTTTGGCTTTAAGCTGAGGAGTATCACCTTGCCTAGACGGCCTCAAAAATTTCAAAATATATGGCTTGTCTACCTCTTTCCTTGTCTCCTTTCTACGCTCGTAAGGATCTATTTTCATTTCACCATCCGAACACAATGTAGAGAAGTGTTTGGAATGAGGTCCAACACGCTCAAATACCTGAACTTCGAGATGTTCAACATCTTCTGTACCAATGACACTAGATTCAACTGAATATTTATCCTTAATGTCCTCGGTTGACTCTAGTATCACGCCTTCAACATCGACATCCTCAAATCTTAGTTGGCTAGGTTGTTGGTGTTCTACTCTGACCTCCTCCATCAGAGTGTCAACTGCTGACTCTAACTCACATTATTTTTGGCTACTATCCACCATATTGACTTGTCGAATATTCAAAGCTTCCACCACTTGACTCACTTGTGCCTTTAAGTTGTGAATAGTTACCTCTTGCCTTAGTATCTGTAATTGTCTCTTATTATTTTATTCCATAAGGCACATTAACATATCTTTGATCTCCTTTAGGTCAGCATCTCCACGTTCTTTTTTCCTAGTAACTTCACAAGTAAAAGTAGAACTATCATAATAAGGGGTGGGGGGAGGATAAGAAATATAAGCACAACCATAAAAGTGATCATCTTGACCACCACACATATTCCACACATGAGATTGAGTTGGTATACATAACTCGTTCTCGGAAATATATTGATAATTTTGGCACAAGTGGTTTCCTCCACAATATGCATAAGGGAGATCAAAAGTAGAATTACCAACATCAAAACTCTCATAATTCTAAGATGTCGTGTTTCTCAAATCAACAAGTAAAACTAAAATTAAAAAAAAATTAAATACTAAAAAAATGTTCAAACTTGAAACCTAGCAATATATACAACTCCTGTGAACATATGCCAAGCAAGAAAGGTTTAAGTCCAAACGCTCATATGTTTGTACCTACTAGACAGAAGCAAATTGCAGTAACTGTTTCGACCATTAGGTCTAGTGCTGCTGACATCAACAAGGATTCAACACCAGTAGAGCAGCAGCTAACGAGCAATTACACAGTAGGCGTGAAAGAAACTGAAAATCCATCCAATGCTAATGAGTTGCACAAGATAGTAGCTACAACAAATCCGTTTGCGCTGGCTGCAACCTTCAACCTCACACCTACAAATATCATCCATGCACTTGTTTCGCATGACATGGATACATTTAGAGCTCTTGATAATCATAGGAAAAATCAAGGAGCAATAGTGCCCGGCTACAATCATATTGACGATTTTGTGATGCATATGGGTCAAGATTTTTATGAGGAATGAGAAGAGGATGAACTACTGGATGCCACCTTCAACATTATAGCTAGGTAGGGAGATCTTTCACCTAGACAAGTGAGAAATGGATCCAACAAAAATAAGAATAAGGTACCCGAAAGGCAACATAGTTG